TAGGAAGGCATTTTTCACGCGGTTGGTTCCTAGTTATTCAGGTTTATCGAGCCTGGTGGTTCTCGCTCTCCCGCTGACCCGTCTCAACTGTGCTCTTGATTCAGCTGCACCGCCACACTGTCAATCTTCTCTTTATCCATTTGATTTCTTAATGGGTCTGTAAAATGTGTTCCTCACAAACTGTTCTAAGATCAAAGAAATGTGGGCCACCTGCCTATGAATCTTCTTTTTGAGATTCACTCTACATGTTCACTTTGTAAAGTTTCCCCAAAGTCCTACAGTTAAGAAGCCTGTTTAATTTTGTTGAATCCGATGGTCCCCCAATCTGCGATCCCACCTCTCTCCCACCTCCCACCTCACTGCCCCCAAACACACACGGGTCCTCTTGAACTCTGGTGGGGCACAGTTAGGGAAAACCTGCCCAATACGGACAGAAAGGACTCCACAGTCCCTCCGGCTCTGATCTCCGCTTCCCTTCAACTCTTGATTCTTTTCTTTCTTTTTATTTTTTTAATTAATAGTTTTATTGAAGTGTAATATCAGTATTATAAATTTTACCCACTAAGTTTGCAATTCAATGAACCCCAAATTCTTTTTCATTGTCCTGGTAAAATATACATAAATTGCATTGACCATTTTAGCCACAATTCCATGACATTTCGTACATTCACAATGTTGTGCAAGCAAATCTACTATCTAGTTGCAGAACATTTTCATCACCCCGAAAGGAAACCCTGTATCCGTCACTTCTCTTCACAGTGCTCAGCTCCTGGTGACCACCATTCTACTTTCTGTCTCTATGAATTTGACTATCTAGGTCCCTCATATAAGTGGAATCATACAGTATCTGTCCTTTTGTGACTGGTTTCTTTCACTTAGCGTACTGTCTTCAAGGTTCATTCGTGTTGTAGCCTGTGTCAGAATTTCTTTCCTTTTTAGGGCTACTATTCCAGTGTATGAATGTACCACATTTTATTTATCCATTCCTCCATCTGTGGACACTTGGGTTGTTTGCACCTTTTGGCTCTTGTGAATAACGCTACTACGAACACGGGTGTGCAAATATCCGTTCGAGTCCCTGCTTTCATTTCGTTGGGGCAGATACTCAGAAATGGAATTACTGGATCATGTGATAATTTCTATGCTTTATTTTTTGAAGAATTGCCATGCCGTTTTCCACAGTGCTGCACCAGTTTACGTTGCTACCAGCAATGCACAAGGACGGGTTCCAATTTCTCTACAAACTTGCCAACACTTGTTAATTTTTTAATAATTTATTTTTATGATAGCCCTCATAGCGGGTGTGAAGTAGTATCTCACTGTGGTTTTTTTTTCAAGATTGGCACCTGAGCTAACAACTGTTGCCAATCTTCTGTTTTTCTTCTTCTTCTTCTCCCCAAAGCCCCCCAGTACGTAGTTGTATATTTTGGTTGTGGGTCCTCCTAATTGTGGCATGTGGGACGCCACCTCAGCATGGCCTGATGAGCGGTGCCATGTCCATGCCCGGGATCCCAGCCAGCAAACCCTGGGCCGCTGAAGCGGAGTGCGCGAACTTAACCACTCGGCCACGGGGCCGGCCCCTCACTGTGGTTTTGATTTGCATTTCCCTAGGGGTTAGTGACATTGAGCATCTTTTCATGTGCATGTGGGTCATCTGGATATCTTCTGTGGAGAAGAGTCCTTTGCCCATTTTTTAATAAGGCTGTTTGTTTTTTGTTATTGACAAATCCCTACTTATTAACAGATAAGATGTTTACAGTCATGAGCTTTACTTCTGGGAAAGAGGTTGCCCGGCGTTTCTCTCTTTTCTGCTTTCTTGCCCCCACCCTAGTCCTCCATCAGTCATCATTTATTACTGTGCTGGTTTGTCCTGTTTTCAGGCTTGACTGAACGGCTCTGTTGCATCCGTTTCCACATCCCAGGTTTTGGACCATCGTCTCTTTATAGCTGTTGGTTCCTTGGACGGAGAGTTTTATTTAAGCCAACCGCCCCCATCACCTTCCTTCTCCTTCTAAAGGATTGTCATTTGCTCTCTGATTTTAGCCACAATTACTCCACTGAAGCTGCATTTTGGAAGTCTGAGAGCTTCTGGCTCCATAATTTTCTGTAGGATGAACATTGATGATGACTCCTTCCTTCTTTAGCCTCTTTTGGTCCCTGAGGACGCTTCCCTGTGACACGGGGAGGGGGAGTGAGCAGTGGGGTTGAGGACTGTGGACCCTGGGGTGCTTTGTGTGTATGCAGATGCTGCCTTTGACCAGCATCTCACTTTAGGACCCAGGCTTTACTTTACTCTGTGGGTTTCTCCTTGTAAGAGAGAACATTAGCGCCCACCTTCTAGATGCGTGGTGAGGACTGAATAAGGATCACGTGATAAGTGCTTAGCACAGTAACTGGCACCAGGGAGTATCATGTTAGCCACTGTTTGGACGTTAATCTGGTTTTTCTCTTATATATCCAATTGATCCCTTTTCACCTCCATTTTTTCTCCCTTCTCACTCTTGTTTTCTAAATCCTGTTCTTTGCTCTCCATCATTCTCTTCCTTGACATTGTCTCATGCCTGCCATTTCAATGTTCCCCTTTGTGCAGGCAGATTCTAACCAGGTCACCACTCTACATTTTGGTAGGAGGCTTCTTGTAGCACAAAACTGTGCTGTAAGGACGTATTTTTTGGAGGACATTTTGACCCTTGTCAAATCCCTCCATGTCAGCTGCCCCCTCACCAGCTCCTACACAGCCATACCAGTTCCTCTTCAAATCTGGAAGAATTGGACCTTTCACCAATTTCTATGAATTGCGTTTTTATTTTGGTGAGGGAGATTGGCCCTGAGCTAACATCTGTTGCCAATATTCCTCTATTTTTTGTATGTGGGATGCTGCCACAGTTTGGCTTGATGAGCAGTGTGTAGGTCCATGCTCGGCATCCGAACCCATGAACCCTGGGCTGCTGAAGTGGAGAGTGTGAACTTAACCACTATGCCACCCGGCCAGGCTCTGAATTGCATTATTTTGAAGATGAAATCACAAATGTCACCCCGGCCGGTGGACCTGGGCCACGTCAAGTGATTATATCCCGAGAAGAAGGAATTGTAGGGCTTTATGAATCAAACAGAGTAAAATCACAGAAGTCTTAGGGGTGATCTAGAATATTGCTTGAGTGTTTACTAGTTCCTGGGTACTGTGAAGTACTTATTTAACTTTCGCAAGAACTTTCAGAGGTAGTTAGTATTATTTTCTCATTTTGTAAGTTTTCCATTTCTCATCTAGAGAAAACTGAGTCTTAAGAAGGTAAACATGCCCCGAATCTTATAACTAATAAGTGACTGACTTAAGATTTGACCCAGTTTCCCGGGGCTCCAAATACCGAACTCTTAACATCATCTGTCTTCCATATGTGTCATTTCTCGTTTTATTTCTTCCTGCGCCCTTTTCTTTCTATATTTATTAGATATGCTAGAGCTTAGTCCATTTTAAAGAGAGAAAATGGGTGCATATTTATCTGTGAAACTTTGTTTTCATGTTTGAATTAATTCAGTCCTGCTTTTAGTTTTATTATTCTTGCTCTTTTCTATAATTTTTGTTTGGTTTCTAAATTCTTTGAGAGCTTAGTCCATTTCTTTCTTTTCTTTAATAATGAAAGTACATAAGGCTCTACATTTGCCTCTGAAAGTGACTTTGAACTCATCCTAAAGAATCTTATCTATGGGGACGGCCCCATGGCTGAGTGGTTAAGTTTGTGTGCTCTGCTGTGGTGGCCCAGGGTTTCGCTGGTTCGGATCCTGGGCATGGACGTGGCACCACTCGTCAGGCCATGTTGAGATGGCGTCCCACATGCCACAAGTAGAAGGACCCATAACTAGAATAGACAACTATGTACTGGGGGGATTTGGGGAGAAAAAGCAGAAAGAAAAAAAAAAAAGAAGATTGGCAACAGTTGTTAGCTCAGATGCCAATCTTTGGAAAAAAAAAAGAATTTATCAAAAAAAAAGAATCTTATCTAGTGTTGTCATTTGTTTTGTTTTATAAGTAATCTATTCTTGCACATTTATTATTTCTCCTTTGACCTCAAGGTTAATTTTCTTTATTTCTCATTGTTTGGGATTTTTGATGACTTGATGATTAAACTTAATGTTAATTCCTAGTTGTAGTGCTTTATGGCCAGGATGATGACCTCTCGTTTTCCTATTAAGTCTGTCTACACTTACATTGCTATTCAGAAGTACGTGTAGTTACAATTATGGAGATACTGGTTTAAAATGAAAATGACTAGGATTTGAAACCTGTGTTTATAAGTCACTTATTTTAGTCTAAATCTGAGTTCTTGTTTCTCCAACTGATATGTTCTGTTTCTTTTTCTTATTCAAGTAGGATATATATTCTCAATAAAATTCTCAGGGCACATCGCCAGTTTTGGTTTTTACAGGACAGTGGCCCCACCTTGTTCTGTAACACAGTGCTCAAAGCCAGATACCGGTGAAGAAATGAAGTGGTTTGTTGAGTGCAACAGTAGGCCTCTCTCATAAACCCATCAATGTTTAACAATTTTAACGAGCTTTTAAAAAGTGTCATATTTTCACTGTGAATCATTTCACATTAAAATCTGTGGTTTTCCTGCCAAAGTTATCTTTAATAAAAGCTATTTACTTTCAGCCAGATTTTGAGTAAAGTGAATGTGAGTGAAGCTGGAAGCAGATTCCACAAGAAACCCAAATGTCAGAGGGGGAAATTGCTGAGCAGCTGGGTCTTGGTTCTGTTAATGCTCCCATTGACAGGCTCAGCCACACTCCGCCAGCACTCCCAGGACAGTGCCTCCTTCAGGACTTCTTGGGCATTGGTGACCTGGGTCAATGAACCTTCTCTCTCAGACATTTCTGCCTTCCTCCATCGATTCTTGGTGCCTGTGCTGGGTTTTCAAGTGAGAGAGTGAAAGACATGAGGAGGACTTGCCTTTGATGAGGAGATGATGTTTACGTGTTTGTATTTTCTTTTTCCATTTCAGGGAAGCTGCTTTCTATAGATTCACTGCAAAGCTGTGATTGCCTAGAGGTTGCCAGAGGAGAGAACGCGGTCCCCGGGAGGTAAGGCAGCAGAGGAACCCAAGGAAGGATGGGACGCAGCTGCATGGAAATAGCTCCCCAGCTGGTTTCGAGTCTTGAATGTAACAATTTGTCTCCTCTTTGATAGCTGACCCTGCCTGTCGATTTTCTCCAAACAGAAGTAAAACTCGAATGGGGAAAAATTAAATGGAAAAAACCATTTTTCCTTTCAAAATATTCATAGAGAGAGGAGGAAGCGTGTACTTAGAGAGCTAAATACAATGTTCCTCGTGGGCGGAATTCCACCTAATACTGCCATTGTGCTTGCTGCTTAGCAAGCGCACCAAAAGCACACTGCAGATCTTGAGGGAATAACTGCTTTGAGTCATTTTATCCATTTATTCACTTAGTAACTGTGTGTGTGTTTGAGGGCCGCCGTAACAAAGGGCCACAGACCGAGTGGCTGAGACGACAGAAATGGATTGTCTCACAGTCTGGAGGCCAGGAGCCCGAGGTCACGGTGTGGGCAGGGCTGGTTCTGGGGGCTGCGAGGCCGACTCCGCCCCAGGCCTCTCCCCCAGCTTCTGGGGGTTTGATGTCAGTCTTTGAGGTTCCTTGGCTTGTAGAAGCACCACCCCAATCCCTGCCTCTGTCTTCCCATGGTGTTCTCTCTGTGTGTGTGTGTGTCCTAATTTCTTCTCCAGTCGTGGATTAGGGGCCCACCCTCCTCCGGTGTGGCCTCATCTTAACTAATTGCATCTACAATGACCCTATGTCCAAGTAAGGCCACATTCTGAGATCCTGGGGGTTGGGACTGCAGCATATGAATTTAGGGGGAACACAATTCAGCTCAGGATAGTAAATATTTATTCACGCACCCAGTAAATGTTTCCTGAGCATCTCTTATGTGAAACTATGGTATGAGGTGTGGAGATTTAAATAAACATGAATAAAGTATTTCCTGTTCCAAGCCACTCGCAGTAAAGTGGGGGAGCGCTGTATAAGCAAATAACTGTACTCTGACAGCGATCTGGTAAAGGTCTGTGCAAGGGGCTGTGGTGGTACCAAGAAGGGGCGTGGCTAAGTGTCCTTGTTTGTGGAGAGGAACACTTCCTGCAGTCCAGGAAGCAGCAGCTTGAGGGCGGTCGACATGGGACGTGGAGAGGGAAGGTCAGGAGATTGCCCTACAGAGGTTTTACTGCTTCTGAGAGTGTCACTTCTGCTGTGTTGACAAATCACGTGTGCTTTTGAATTTTGTGTCTGGACAGCCATTCTTTATTATTGTGTATGCCTTATTTCCTGAACGAAGATTATCTTCCATCTGCATGATCATTCTATGCCTCCCTCCTGGCACAAATAGGCAAATGCTGGAATTAATGCTCTGTATGTGCCATCGGTTTCCCTGTCTTTCTTCTCTGCACAGCTTTTCATTCCTCTTCATGCTAAAGCATCCTGACTTGTGTTTCTGAACAGTCCTAATGACGCTCCACTCTTTGCCTCTAATAACCCACGAGCCTCTTCAGTGTGAGCAGTAGGGGGTGAAACGCTTGATGTTGCTTCCTCTTCCACTGAAATAAGCCAGATTCCATTTCTTCTGAGAAATAATTGAAGTCTTATGAAATGCACATAAAGCAAAAATACCTAATGCACTGAAAAGTTTTGCAAAACAGTTTGGTCCCTAGGAGATGCCATATAAAGTGAGAGATTTTGTGTAAGAAAATGTTGCAAAGAAGCATGATTTGGCTTTTGGAGACATGGACATCTTCTCATTGGTTCATTCCAAACTTTCCTTTGTAAAGGGGCACAAGCGTAGGGTGACTAATCGCAACTGGCTTTTTGGTGGTAGACATGATGCCGTCTATACAGAAGTTGAAATATAGTGATGTACACCTGAAATTTATATAATATTATAAACCAGTGTGACCTCAATTAAAAATAACTTTCCTTTGGGCTTATATGTGGCAAATACTGGGCATCCACAGATGCTACAGTGATGAAAGATACAGAAAAGGACCCTTGCTCTGTCCTGGCGTTATCAACCAGTGGGAAAGGTGGGCAGAAGTCCAAGGTTGGCACAAAGAAATAATGAAACACAGTCCTGTTAATGAAACTGATAAAATACCAGACAGTGGGTTCCGCGAGTAGTAAATGAAGGAACAGCTCTGCTGAGGACTTGGCGTGAGGGGTGAGTAGGGTTTGCTGAGCAGAAGTGGGGTGAGGGTGGAAGGTGGAGGAGGCCCCGGGAAAGGCGCGCAGCATGGGACATTTGCACAGGAGGGAACGCATGGGTCTGTTCAAGGAGTGGAAAGAGAACAAGTGTGGCCTGAAGGTAGAGGCCAAGGGAGATCAGCTGGAACAGATGCGGCAGGACGTGAGCTGATTTATGGGGGCCTGGTGGATCCGTGGATCGTCATCTTAAAGATCGGCTGAACTTGTTAGTCAAGAAATGAAATTTCATGCCTCAACGAGTCAAGATGCACATTGCGTGCAGCACAGTCCAACCTGAATTGCTGGCTATCGTTTTCATTGCCTCTTGTTTAAGAGGCATTTCATATGATTTGGAATCTGGGCAGGCCATAGTTTACAGAAAGATGACATTTCCTTGTTTTAATTATCTTTCTTCTTTCTCCACCCGTACATGTGGTTTGCATGCTGACTTCCTGTCACTTTCGAATTCTTTATTGAGATGTCACTCAAGCAGCCTATATTCTCTGGCTCTAGATTCGTTTGGGCGTAGGCATCTGGAATAAGCAGGAAGTGTTCTCTGGGAGATGTCTCTTTATTTGTTTTCAAGGTGTTTTGTATGGGGGTAAGAATACTATCCTTCCTTAATGTCACCAGACCCAGGCAATCCAAGAGCTTTTCCAAATTTTTCTAAAGTGGTTGATTGCACAGAATAATCAGCAACCTCATTAATGACATTCTACTTTTTTGCTGTTATTAATTTGTTTAGTTTTTGGTCAGAAGAAAGGCCCCAACTCTTAGCTTACTGAAGTAATCAAAAGCTTTTTTTTTTTGAGGAAGATTGGCCCTGAGCTAACATCCACAGCCAAGCCTCCTCTTTTTGCAGAGGAAGGGTGGCACTGAGCTAACATCTGTGCCCATCTTCCTCTACTTTGTATGTGGGATGCCTGCCTCAACATGGCTTGAGAAGCAGTGCCTAGGTCCGTGCCTGGCATCTGAACCAGCGAACCCCAGGCTGCTGAAGAGGAGAGCTCGAACTTAACTGCTAAGTTACCGGGCTGGCCCCTCAAAGCTTATTTATTTATTTATTTTTGGGGGAAGATTAGCCCTGAGCTAACATCTGCTGCCAATCTTCCTCTTTTTCTTTTTTTTTTGCTGAGAAAGACTGGCCCTGAGCTAGCATCCATGCCCATCTTCCTCTACTTTATGTGTGGGAACCCTGCCACAGCATGGTTTGACAGATGGTGCGTAGGTCTGCACCCAGGGTCCAAACTGGTGAACCCCGGGCCACCAAAGTGGAATGTGTGAACTTAACCACTGCACCACTGGGCCAGCCCCCTCAAAAGCTTATTTTTAAAAAATCCCATGGTAGATTGGCCTTCCTAAATCTATGGACACCATTCTTTTTGTTCCTTTTGACATCGTGGATAAAACTGTTCAGTAAAATCGTTCGGTGTTATTTGGGCTGTTCAGAAAAGAATGCTCTGGAGGTTTAAAAGAATGAGGTTTCAAAAACCTTGAGTTGTGCTCTTGTGTTTTTTAAGGTTTTGGAGCTGCAAGTAAAAACACTTTTTTTCTTTAAATAGAGAAAGCTTCAGCAGGGGGTAGATTGCAGAGCGAGGGAATGGACCGGAATGAGTCCAGAGCCCCCGTGGCAGGCTGACGTCTCAGAGTCTGAGGCACGAGGCTGGGTGGGGTTCCCTTCTGCCCGTTCCCAAGGGAATAAGAGTCTAGAAGGTCCAGAAATGGAGCTTACCAGCAGGAAGCCCAGCTGACAGCCTGGAAAAGAGCAATGCTTTCCTCTGGAGAGAAAGTTCATGTAATTGAGGGAGATCTGAGGAGGCCCTGGGACTGCTCCCTGTGACCGGCACCAGGTACTCAGTAAAGGACTGCAGTATGTCCCCCCAGACTCATGCGTGTGTGATGGAGTTAGGAGGTGGGGCCTTTGGGAGTGATTAGGGTTAGATGAGGTCATGAGGGTGGGGCCCCCATGATCGGATTAGTGCCCTTGTAAGCAGAGACCCCAGAACACAAGAGCCCTTGTGCAAGTCCCCCTTGACCCCCCCACCTCTGCCATGTGAGGACACAGTGAGAGGTGGCTGCTGCGAGCCAGGAAGAGGGCTCTCACCAGCACCCGACTGGCTGGCAGCCTGATCTCCAGCTTCCAGCCCCCGGAACTGTGAGAAAATAAAGGGTTTAAGCGCCCCCGTCTGTGCTCTTTGGTTTTGGCAGCCCCAGCTGCCTGAAATGTCGGTTCCTAAGTTGCCTTCCTAAAGCTCTAAATTCGTCGATTCTGGGAACAGTGATCGTTGGTATGAATTCCCGGGCGCTCTCTCCTTCGTCGCTTGGTTCCATTGGCGCTGCCATCTTCAACGTAAGCAGAGTCTTCTCTGCTGTGTCATGGATGGGAGAGGGAGGCCCCGTGGGACCCTGGATCATCAGTCTCGAAGACCTAGAGGAGGCCTGTGGACCCCTGACGTCCTCAGAAGAAGCCAGGCTCCTCACATGCTCTTCAAGGCCACGCTGAACCCGCCCTGCCTGCTCTCCAACCTCAACTCCAGGCTTTCCCTTTGCACCCTGCCCTGTTCCTGGAACCTACCGGGCCCTTCCGGATCCCCTGCCTCTGCCGGGGGGCCTCCCAAGGGCAGCTCTGAACGGCCCCCAGGCGGGACCTCCATTCTCTCCTCTGCCCTGTGTCAGAGAAGAGCCGGAGCTGGACAGCAGACTGAGCGGCTAAACCAGATTTCATTCTGGAACTCTTGCAGTCGGGAAAATGAGAGCTCAGAGCCAGGCTCACGTCGGAATACAGCCCGGACAAGCAGGGGTTTGTAGTCAAGGGCAGGGCGGGGTTGGGGGAT